AGTAAAATATAAAGGTTTTATTTATAAATACCTCTTTAATAATCTATTTATATTAAATATTAATATAGTAAGTATAAGCTTAATTTAATAGATTTATAATATAAAAGTATATATTAATACTATCTATAAAGAGAAAAATAGAAGTATTTATCTTAGTGTTAAATATTTATTTAATAGATCTTTTAATCTATTTAAGAATAAAACTAGTAAATATTAAGTTTATAAACTTTACTTTAATTATACTAAAAGTAATAAATATCTATTTCTTAGTTTTCTAAGTAATAAAGGTATTACTAAAAAAGATAATATATCTTTTAGTTAAGATATAAAATAGCTAATTATTAATAAAAGAAGTATTTACTATATTATAAAAAGCTAAAGTTTAATTTAGATTAGTTCTATTAATAATAATACTATAATAGATAGTTCTTTAGAAGTAATAAAAGAGATATTTAGTAAAGTATAAATATATCTAAGATAAGCTTCTATTAGCTTAGTAGAGTTTACTAATATAGTAAATAATATTAATATAAGTATTTTAAGTAAGCTAGTTAATATAGCTAGTTTTTTTAATATACTTTTTAGCTTCTTTAATAGTATACTTATTCTTATCTTATTAAATAGAAAGCTTTTTATAAGAGGGGAAAAAAGTTTTTATAAGCTATAGATCTTAATAGCTAAATTAATAGAGGATAGCTTTAATATACTTATATTAAGAGAGGAAGATTTTCTTAGTTAAGATATTACGTTTAATCTAGAAGCTAAAGAACTATATAGCTTTATTAAGCTCTTTAAAAGTATATACTTTCTTAAGATTATTATAAATACTTTTAATATACTATTTATTAAGTATAATAATAGTATTATTATTAATATATATTAAGATATAAATATATTAATCCTTATTTATAAATAAATAGAGCTTACTATTAATAGGAATAAAGTTAATCTTATTTATCTTAGTATAAATAAGATTAAACTACTAGAGAAAAGCTTTATATAAACTATAAAATACCTTCTTAAAAAGCTAAACTTTACTATTATTAATACTAAAGCTAGTAAATTAATAAATATAGATCTTAATATTATTAAGAATTAATACTATAAAGAAAGTAAAGTTAAAGTTATATATCTAATATTTAAGTCCTTAAAAAGTAATAATAATAAAGAATAGTTAAAAAGCTATAGCTATAATAACTATTATATAGACTTCTTAAAAAGCTTAGTCTTTATACTTAAAGTTACTATATATAACTTAGTAAGCTTTAAACTAAGTAATAATATTATTAATAATAGTCTTAATATTAAAAACCTATTAGCTAGAAAGGACTTTAGTATTATAAAGAGAGTAGATAAGTTTATAAACCTCTTTTATAATAAACTATTAGATTTCTTATTTATAAGCTTCTTTCTACTATAGCTAATAAGGGTTATTTTTAGCTTAGTTATAAGTTTTTAGAATACTATAATCCTATAGAAGCGCTCTAAAAATAGTAGTAGCTATAAAGGTATTAAGAGAGTACTTAGGTATATTATTATATACCTAAATATTAATAGCAATATATACCTTTTTATTATAGCTATAAATACTAAAGAGCTACTTATAGTAACTAAGAAGTTTAAGGTTATTTTAATAGAATCTAAAAGAAGTAATCTTATTATCTTAAGAAGTTTTAATACTTTCTTCTCTATAAATTTACTATTTATAAGTAAAGTTAATATTATCTAGTTCTTAATTAATAATACTATAAAAAGATTTATTAAAGTTACTATTATTATTATAATACTTATTAGCTTTCTTATTATAATTTATAGTAACTATATTATCCTCTAGAAGGGATTATAAGGTTAAGTAAAATATAATTTTATCTAAAAGTAGTATTATTAAGTCTAATCTTTTTATAGCTATATTAAGGGTATTATTACTAATATTTAAAAATATTAATATTATAGTAAAGATCTTTAGAAACTTTTTAAAAAGGTTAGAAATACCTATAGTTATATTATACTAAATCTAAAGATCTAGCTTATTAAATAATATATTATACTTTATATTATTAGCGATTAGTATATTATATATAGGTTAAAGAACTATATTTATTAGACTTTTATAAAAGTAAATATTATAGTAATAGATAACTTTCTTCTTCTCTAAGATATAGATATAATAAATATAGCTATAGAGAGATATATATTTAATAAGATATCTCTTTATAATATAAGCCTCTATCTTTTTAGAATAAAGAGGGTAATTAATACCTTTCTTATAGATATAAATAGTATAGCTAAAAATATAAAGATACTTAATATAAAGTAGTTTATAATTAGTAATAAAGTTAAGTTTATATATTATAATCTTATAAAAGTTTATTTTATTTTTAATATCTTAAGAAAGAAAGTTAAATACCTAAATAGTTAAATTAAATAAATAATTCTAAAGCTCTTTAAGTAAGTTAGTATTAATTAACTATATATAAGCTATTTTAATAATAGTTTTTCTAATATATTTAATAAAGCTATTTATAGAAAGTATATTAGTAATAATATAATTAATATAAATATTAGTAAAATATAAATTATAAAGAACCTTTTTAAACTTTAAAGTATTATTATAAACTTAGGTCTTAACGTTAAAGCTAGTTATATTATTAAATATATTATAGAAGTTCTTAATAATATTATATATAACTTTATAATAATAGTTAAATATAAGAATAAGCTAGTGATATCTACTATATTTATTAAGAAAATATAAAGTATAATACTTACTAGTTATTAATAGAAGCTTAACTTTAATAAGATTAAGATATATCTCTTTTTTAATCTAAATAAGAAGTAAGAGAGAATTATAGCTAATAATCTCTATTAACTTAGCTAGATAGTATACTTTATAGTAAAAGTTCTCTATCTCTTCTTTAGTAAACATAATACCTATATAATAATAAACTTTAATAACTTTAAATAGATAAGTATAAATTAGGTAATAGTATATTATCTTAAAAATTAGCTTAAAGTTATAATAAATATTAATAAAAGTAATAGTAATATTAATAAGTATATTAGTAGTTATATAGGTCTAGAGAACTATAATATCTATAATCTATTTAACTTTACTAATAAAATAAGTATTATTTATATATATAAAGCTACTAAACTTATAGTTATAATTAATACTAACTTTATAAAGTTTACTAAAGCTAAGTAAGTTAGTAAGACTTAATAAGCTATACTTAATATTATTAATAGTTTAGTTAATTATCTTAGATAGGTTAAGAGGATTATAAATCTAAAAGAATATAATATTAATATTAAGAAAATAGATATTATCTCTATTAATAGTTATAAAGAGAAGTAAGTTATTATAAAGAGTATACTTTATAAAGTACTCTATATTATAGAAGAGATAACTAAAATATCTAAAGTTAATAATAATATTATTATAATAGATTATATAGCTATTAATAGTAATATAAATTAAAGAGCTAGTAATATAATAATCTTATATAATAATACTAATAAAAGCTAAGCTATTAAGAATACTAAATAAACTTTTTATAAAGATAGAAGTAGTTAGTATAATACTAATATTATCTCCTTAATAGTTCTTATTATATTTATATTTATTAGCCCTCTTAAGAAAACTTACTTAGTTCTTATAAATTAATAGGATTAGCTTTAGATAAGCTATTTAGTACTTTTTAGATAAGTAGTTTATATTATAGTAAATATAAGAAACTTTATTCTTATTATTTAATATATTATTACTATTATTATTAGTATAAGAGGTATATAAATTTAATAACTAAAGCTAAGATCTATTTTTATAGAGTAATAAACCTATCTTCTATTCTTTATTTTAAGTAAAAATATAAATAGTCTTAATAATATTAGTTTATATAAGCTTTTTATTATTATTAGTATAATATTTATAAATATCTAATAAGTAGGTTTTAAAGTAGTTTAAAAGTAATATAGCTTATAAATAGTTAAATAAGTTACCTATAAAGTTAATAATATAAGTCTAAAAGTACTAAATATACTTAAAAGTATTATAAAAAGTTTTATAGTTCTAAGTAGAGCTTTTAGTAAACTTATTAATAAGAGCGCTAATAATATCCTTAGAAACCTTAAGAATATACTTCTTAAGTATTTATATAAATATAAAGAGATTACTATTATCTTTCTATTTTATATTAAGTAATTTATTAATAAAAATATTATATAAACTAATAAGTAGTATAAAAGTAATATTATACTCTTTAGCTTACTTCTCTTTAGTAATAATATTACTATTAAGCTTAAGGATATTTTTATTAATATATTTCTTAATATAGTTTAATTATAAAGTAATATTAATAAGAACTAGCTAGGATTATTAGTTAGATTTACTTTTTAGCTAGGGAATATTAAATAAGAAAGTCTTAATACTTTTACTTATATTACTAGTTATTTAGAGAGATATAAGTAGAGTAATAAGATAGTTTAAGAGGGAAAATATTATTAATTAATATATTAAAAAGAGTTATAAAAAGTAAAGTAATATTACTATCTAATATATTACTTAGTAAAGTGAATTTTTATATAAGTAATAGTAGTTTAATATATTAAGAATAATTAGAAGCTATATTACTATTTATTAGCTAAATTAGATTATATAAATATATAGATAACTATAAAAACGAGAAGAATATTATAAAGGTAGAAAAATACTTAATTTAAAGCTATAGATATTAGTAATCTAAACGCTAAGCTTATAACCTATAGAGGTATAGGCGTAAATAAATAGTAATAATATAATATGTGTAAATCTAGCTAAGTGGGCCGTCTACTAGGCTAGAGGCTAGAAGAAGGGCCTAGAGGGCCCCTGGGCCGCACAGGCCACCTGTGGCACCTGTGGGCAGGTGCCGCCACATCCTCAATCACGGAAGCTCCATCCACTTACGATACCAACCATCACTCGGCAGTATGCCATCGCTCCACGCGAACAGAAACATCATGCTCTAGTTCTTTTCAGTGCCTCTATCGGCCTCCCCTGCGCTATCTGCTGTCTTGTCGTGTTCAATAATAACACCGGCCTCTAGAGAAGTCTCTGGAGCTTCGGGATTCTTCTTCTGTTCGCGCAACAGGAGGAGTCTGATGCTGATGACCGCAATTATTGCGGCGATGATGAACCCGAAAGTAGCGGGGAAACCACGTCCTAAGTGACCAAGCTGTTAGCAGACGATGAACGGCTTTGCGTCAATCTTTCGGGACTTACTGAAACTGGGTGCCATAGTCTGAGGGAAAATCACGATAGGTAGCCAGGCGTCAACTGCGTATTGCATCCCGTTCATGCTGCTAATAACCAGTGCGCGTTCTTCGTTGTCGCCAGCGCAGACTTCGTTCGCCCAGGTGTAACTAAGAATGACTAATCAGTACGGAGAGGCTTCTTGTCGACATTGATTCGATACGCTTACAAGACTGCTGTCATTAGATGTATGCTGCTCGTGAGGAATGCGGCCTCTTTCAGGGGAACACTGGCAGGCCATACAGCCAAGATGCCGTTGGGTATGAGGCCCAGTATCTATTTCCAGTCTCAGTCAGCATTATTCTGACATCTTCATGCAAATGATACGGCGAATGCGCGGCTCACCAAAGGGCTCAAAATCAAAGCAAACCGGCTGCCGGTGTAATCAGACAAAAAGCCCCATAGAATGACGCAAAAGGCCATGATCAGCCTCGAGCCGGTAGGGATCACGTTTCTGTCAACGACCGAGTAGTTTTCCGATTTGAGCCAGATACCGAAGTAGCCGCTGGCTTGGCAGGATTCGCCATACAGCTGCAACGTCCTTATCAGCAACCTAGGGATCGCATCTGCACGACGCCTGATATGCACTCACCACATAACCCAGCACGAACGCATACCACCTCCACTTTGATAAGATGCGCTTGAAGGTCGCAAAGGTCACTCCTGCAGGTGCCGCCTTGCCAGCCTTTTGGACTCTCTCGATAGCCAGCTCGCATTCCTTGGCGGTCAGAAACCTCGACTTCGTGGTGTATGGCGTGTCGGGGAGGAAAAAGAACGTCGCTAGACCGACAGGCACAGTCATACACTGGGTCAATCAGTATCGAGGTGAAATTTCAGGGATCTGTTCTTCGACTTACTCCACAAACGATGTATAGCCATCGCCATCCAGACAGACCATGGGCACCATCGAGACTCTTGTACACGGCTGCTTGAAGATATCCTAGAAAAGGACTTAGTCAACAATGTTGAAAGATTGACGTTTTCATCAACACTTACCTCCAAAGGCAGAGCCAAGGGGTGCAGTCATGTGAAAAATGGCCACTCTCTTAGCAAGCTCCGTCTTCGTATACCAGCTCCCAAGCACGTAGAGCAACACGGGGAAGAAACTGCTTTCAAAGAAGCCCACGAAGAAACGAAACGCATAAAGCTGACTGGAGCTATGAGTGCCGGCCTGAGCAAAGGTGAAAACACCCCATGCAACTTCCATACAAGCCAGCCAGATACTTGGTCGGATCTTCTGCACGATGAGGGTGCTCGGCACTTGCATGATGGCATACGCGCAAGTGTATGCTGTCTGGGCGTAAGTGTACTCGTTTCCGAACATTCTCAGGTCTTCCTGCATCCCCGACACGTAGGCGTTTGCCAGGTTGCCTTGGTCTAGGTACTTCATGAAGAACCCCAGGCATCCGATGGTGAGGATGGACCAGTCCAGTTTTCGCAGAAGGACTCGTTCTTCATGGCTCTTGAGATGGGTGTCGGTATCCCAAATGAAGGAGCGGAAGGACCGCGAGGGTGATTTCGTAGGTTGCGATTCCGTCATCTTGAAGGCGTGGTGAGAGGCCGTGAGGGAAAAGTGCAACGCCCACGGTAGTCGACTTCAAAGGCAGCAGCATGCCAGCATATGTACGTCTTCTTCCATCGACACTAGCTTAGGTTGCGCAATCGGAGGAGCGTATTTCAGACGGCCGAGGCATGTCTGCCATGCATTGATAGCACCGGACATACCTGGATGCCAAAGGCAGAACCGGACCATATCCCCGATGGAGGCAAAGCAGCTCTCGCTAGACATGCCAGAACGTTGCGTTCTTGTCTCTTTGAGTATGGCGCTGCAGAATCTCGTTGGTGTTGGGAGGTGTCGGGGGCTGTCCGACGGCGTCGACCAATCGTATGTGGTGCATTATCGTGGGGTCGATCGGCGGATGTAAGACGACAGAGTCGGGGGTGATTGCGAGCTTATCGTCCATGGCAACACGGCCACAGTGCCGGCTGCTATTCGGGGGTATTTGTGACAATACCGATAAGATTCCATTCAGACTGGATTATTTATGGAATTTTATCCACGAAATGGCTTCTTACTGGGAAGGTTGTTATCTCGCACGCTGTATGCACGTCGCACACACCCTGGAGCCTTTTGACGTCGACATGTAAGAAGCTGCACAGTGCTCAACATACTCAATCCATATTTTACTCATCTTCAGACGGACTTCATCAAATGAACTCCCTTATACGACCTGACCGACTGTGACCCGATTAAGACCTTCTCTTGGGTTTCTTGTGAAGGGCCCGTATGTTGCCATGGCCATTCCAGTACAGACTTCAGTTGCGCCAATAATAATCCCATAGGCGTGGTTGAAGTACAGAACTTTAGCCTCTTGAGCCAAGATTTGCCCTCCAACGTGTCACTCCACTCTCAACAGTTAGCTTAAGCTTACACAGCATGTCTGCGATGGCTTGGCGCTAGTAATGACATAAAGGCCATATTCACTTCTCGACGTGTCCTGCGATTTGACCCTGGACAATTACATTGGCGTAGTTATCTGCCGTGTTCCAACCCGGGATATTTTGAAGAGCCTCTAGAAACAGCTGATTACAGGTATTTATCGTCATTCCAACTAGGTAAGGTACCTAAAATCAAGAGACCGCCTAATTTTCTTATGTATGCGCGGATCGAAAGTGATAGTAACGATAGCAATAATAAGAGCGAGGATATTATAACGATAATAATAAAGATAATAGACGTGAAGATAGAGAAAGAAACGACAATAATAATATAAGCGACAACAGCGACAACAGCGACAACAGCGACAACAGCGACAACAGCGACAACAGCGACAACAGCAACGACGGCAACAAAGAAGACGACGAAGAAGACGACGAAGAAGACGACGAAGAAGACGACGAAGAAGACGACGAAGAAGACGACGAAGAAGACGACGAAGAAGACGACGAAGAAGACGACGAAGAAGACGACGAAGAAGACGACGAAGAAGACGAAGAAGACGACGAAGAAGACGACGACGATAACGAAAAAAAGCGATAATAACGACAGTAAAAGTGATTTGAGTATGGCTACAGGAACAGTAGTCGCTCTGGCACAACGACAATAGGCGATCTCGAAATCAGATGGCTTTCCTGCTTCCTGCTACAGCCTTGAAGGGAAGAGTAGGTGTCACAAGAGCGCTGGAACAAATAGAGGGCGAGCTTTTGTTATGTCCATATGATTAATGTCTTTGCCGCGTCCTTTATCAACACACTTGGCAGGCAATATTTACAAAAGGGGACTGCTATCTCTTTTATGGAAACGGGTTTAACGTTTAATTTTGTCGGCAGCTTCCACTCCTCGTCGGCTCCTTCGAATAATGTGCACGAAGTTCGGGCATTACCCACGGTCTCTTACTCTGCAGCAAGATCGGATCACTCTCTAAGGGCCCCAAGGTGGCACTTCCACTGCGAAACGGGGGTGGTTGCTGCAAGATACACGTTAACCTGGGCCAACACTTTTTTCAGAGGCTTTTGATAACTTACTCGGCATTCTTGACTGCCTTTTCGGGATCCTCCAAAGCAAATTGCTTGCAGTAGTCGACACCATAACCGTAGTCAGTAGTGCCCAGAACGTCTCTGAAATGCGTCGCTTCATGGATAATGGTGCTAGTAGATCTTGTTTAGAACCTCCCTTACCTAGGCAAGTGTAAGATTTTGACTGGACTTGGACTTACTCCCATTGGTTGCGATGACGTCCAGTAGGCGGCAGCAATTCTTCATTGAAGTACACACTGCAAATCTTCACGTCGCCATAAGTACCACCGATCGTGGCAAACACGACTGAGCTGGTGCAGGAGCAGTCATATCTGAATGTCGTGGCCAGATCAGGCGCGAATTTCTATGCGATTCAGTCAGCATGCCCTGGCATGTTTCATGCCAGATAAGAAATTACCTTGAAAGCGGTCAAGACACGGTTGTAACGCTCGGTGCTAAACGTGCCGTACCATGTTGTCTGGATGTCGCTGCCATTGGGGTTGGCTTCCAGATGGTCAATAGCTGCATACGACTTGTTCGTGGCTCGCTCGATCGCCGCTTCGAGGGTGGCTATCTGAGTGCTAGAGCATGAGGTGAAGGTCGCGGCCAGGGCGCCGGACACGACGGACAGCAAGCTGCCCAAGTGAAGAACGCGCATATTGATCACCTCGAAACAATAGTAGACGGATCAAGGTGTTGATCATGAGATTCTAGAATGCCGCAAGGTCGCGTGGTTTGTTTTTAAGGTTGCGGAGATCTTCTTGACCGTCAATTCTTGGCAAACATGCATTAGGAAGGTACACAATTCTCGGGTTGCATTTTCCATTTGGAGGCATCATGCCGGGCGGCTGTACCTTTTCTCGTATCGCGCCATCATTTGAGCATCCCTTGAACATGCAAATATCCTATCTCGATCAATTCGGGAAGTTGCCGTAGAGAGCGACGCATGTCAGGCCCTGGTCATACATATTACAAGCGCATCCGGGGCGCCAACGTACCTAATACGCGGAAGCCATGTCGGGGCCCCGGACGTTGGCGGACGGATTGCGCGTGCCGTCCCGGAGGGCGCCCGCAACAGGCACGGAAGTTAGCCGGGATCAGCGTGGCCGTATCGACTCGCGCTGTTAGAGTGGACTGCGCCAACTAAAGGGGCCTGTTAGCCTGGCCTATTATAACAGTCATTAAAGCAATGCAGCTAAACAGTAAGTAATATTAGGGGGATCTATTAATTAGCCATAGCCAGAATAATAATTAGCCATAGTAGGTCCTACCTAACCTAATCTAACTAACTAGAAGCGCTTATTTAATAATAGATAAAGGATTTTCTTATTAATATAATATTTTTTTTTTAACTATTATAGCATATATATTAATACTTATATTAAATTAACTACTTCCACTACTATACTACCTTTTTAATAGTGTTAACTACCCCTCACTACTATAATACTAAGACTACTAATTATATTAGAGATCTCTTACCTCTTATAAATAATACTAATAATACTTATAATACTTTATTTAACTTAGCCTTAGAGGTAAGTTACTACTTCTAAAAAAAACATATTTATAAGGTTAATAAGTATAAAGTATATAATAAAAATAACGCTATCTTATATATTAATATCCTCTATAGCTACACCTCCTCTATATATAAGTAACACGCTAATTAACATGCTAGTAAGTTAATTAAGTATAACTACTTATAGCATACTAAAATTATCTATTATAAAGCTCTTAACTAATATAAAACTATTATAATTAATAGTTAGTATAACTATAACAGTATTAATAAGCACTATAAGGTTTTACTATATATATAATAGTAATAGTAACTTAGTAACCCTAGTATTATTAAGCATATTAAGATATTATTAGTTTTAGCCTCACTTACTACTACTTAGATCTATAAGAATATTTATAAAAATTAATTATAATAAGCTAATAATAATACCTTACTTTACCTTATTACTAACGCTAATATATGCAATATATAAGCTACCCTCTATACTAAGAAGTATAGCTTATTCTCCTCCTTTTAGCACTTTTTAAAAACCCTAAAGTTATACGCTATAGATTATAAAATTCTCTATAAAGTAAGTAGGAGCAGTAATAACTATATTAACTATATAATCTAAGCTTATAGCAACTACCTTAATTTATAGTATAAGAACCTTAATATCCTCTTATTTAATAACACCTATAAAACTAATAAGTTTAAAATACCCCTACTATAGATTACTAATACTACCTACCTCTATATAATATTTAATATTACTTTTAGCCTTATTAGTAATAAGGCTAAGGATAACTTTAAGTAGCTACTCACTATACTATCTCACTAAGCTTATAAACGCTAAATACGCCACCCTATAGTTATTCTTAGTAATCTTAATAAGGCTTTTAAATATATCACTAACTTTATCTACCTAGATATCTAGTAGTAGATCTATATATAGCATATTATAAAAAATATTAACTATTATATATAAATAAAGTAGTATAAGCTTAATAATAAGCTAGATTAATAAAAAGCTACCTAGAGTACTAATTCTAATATAGTTAACCTAAATTATATTATTTCTAAGTAGTAAAAGTATAAAGATAATATTAATTATACTACTACGTTTAAACTACTTAACCTTATTATAACTAACTTTCTCAGAAATATTCTAACCTCTAATATAATAGTAGAAGTAAATTTACCTACCTATAGCACCTAAATAATACTTATAACCTCATAAAATAACTTTCCTCTCTCCTATAATAATATAATTATAATATAAAAAGCTTATATTTATACCCCTACTAAAGATACTTTTTTTAAGGCCTAAAGTACCCTCTATAAATACTACCTAGAATAAAAGCATACTATAAACTATATTTTTAAGATATACTTTCCTTATAAAAAGGAGTTTATTAGTTTTACTATTTAGTATTATTAAAACTATAGCTTTATAGTTACCTCTTATATAGAGAGGACTTATATACTCCTTAAACAGTAGCTATATTATATACTAATAAACCTTAATACCCTCTATAATTAGATTTAAAAAATAAAGTAAAGGATAATATATATATACTAAAAAAGCTAAAGCTATATTAATATAAACTATCTTAAAATATAATAAACCTATAATATTACTATTAATTAAAAAAGTAAGCTTTAAAACGCTTAACTTAATATATAAGTAATACTTACTTATAGAAGACGCTTAGTATAAAGAGAAAGATCTATTAGCTTATAATAGCTTATTTACTTAATAATATAGTTTACCCTATTATTATATAATACTTAGCTAACTTCACTAAGATAGAACCCTTACTTTAAATAATATAAACCCCTATTAATATCTTCTAGATCACTTTATAAATCTCTCTAAAAAATATATTTATATAAGAACTAATAGCTATAACTACTTATACTAAATATTATAGCCCTACTAGCTAAATAAAACCCTAATATAATACTATATTAATTTAAATCTAAACTATAAACTAAAATAGCTAAAGCTATACTAAATTAGCTATAGTATTATATCAGCTAAGCTATAAGAGAGACTAAGTTAATATAATATAACCTCTCTTACTTTAAGGCTTTAGAGCTACCTAAGAGTTAGCTATATAGTAGAAGTAGAAATAGAAGTAGAAATAGAGTAAGAAGTAGTATAAAAACTAAAAGTAGAAGCTAATCTATAGTATAAACTAAGCTATATAAGATCTATACTATTAATAAAAAGCTTAATTACTTTAAGGATACTTTTTATATATATATAGCTAAATAAGCTTCACTAATATTAGTAATAAGTAGTATAAATACTATTAACTTACTATTATTATTACTACTACTACTACTATTACTACTACTACTAATAAAAAGTATATTAATAAGAGGTAGGATAAGAAGGAGGGCTATAAGAGGTATAATAAAAAATATATAGTTTATATATTAGTAGCTACTAATATAACTAATAGCGCTAAAAGAACACTAAAGATACTAAATTAATAGTTAATATAATCCCTATTAACCTTTTTATTAAAAATCTAAAAAACGCTAGATCTTATTAAGTTATATTAATTACTATAATAAAAATCAAAAGCCTCAAAGTTATATAACTTTTAGGATCCCTAGCCTCTAGTTAGTCAGATTAGGTTAGGTAGGACCCACTATAGCTAATTATCATTCTGGCTATAGCTAATTAACAGATCCCAATATTAGGTATGTAGGAAAATGCATAGCACACTGAACACCCAACAATGATTCCCGTCCCGGAGAGCCTATGACCAAAACGCCCGCTAATCTGGAAGTCTTGTAGACCAAATCTGCTCCTCGAGGTTCAAGCCTTCTTCGTCTTCTTCCACACGCTCAGAAACCAACCTCCCCCGCAAATCTCTCCATCACTGCTCCCTCTACAGGGTGCATTACAATTCCACGCCGGTGAAAGCGCATCTTCGCTTGGCGCTGTGCTGGAGCAGTAGCACTCGCCCCCGGTCTCGGTACCAAAGTAGTCGTAATTCTTTTCGCAAAACGCCTTGCACTGTCGATTCGTTTGACTGGTGGTGTAATTTTGGTTCGCGTCGCGCATAGTTCTTTGGTCGTTATCACGATAGCAGCCAACGTACTCCCAATCGGAGATCTCTACCCAGGTCGTGGCGGCTGCGGATGCTGAGGCAGTTCTAATGAGACCTTGGCTGGGTGTCGCTAAGCAAGTTGTGGTGTTGTCGTTAATAACTCACCTTGTACCCCCGTTTGTTTGTTGAAGGTTTTGTATTTTTGCATCCTGGTTCGCTATCATAGCCCCAAACACGCCAGCAACCATCACCAGCATGGCCGCCATAAAGCCGATGATGCACCACAGCACGAAGACTGGTTTCCGGGCACCGCATATCCTCTTCTCCGCCTTGAGTGTCGTGGCCGCGCTGATTTGTGTGTATCCTCCATAATACTGGCCATCGTATTGGTGCTCTATTGGCCCGCCGACAATCTTGTCGGAGTGATGTACAGGATGAAGGCCGTTTTCGATGTAGGCATTCTCGACGTAAGTAGGCTCCATATTCGTTGTATGTTCGTAAGATGCCATGATGCCACTGCTGGGGAAACAACCTTAAAAATGGACTGCTGTCTGACGGCCCAGAATTGAAAGCCAGACAAGAATTGTTTTTAAAAAATCCGGTCCATGGATCAATGATAGGAGGAATTGTGATAATTAGATCAGAGACATGAAGGATATCCGGTCTGCTGCGATGCGGGATCGTGCATTGAAAAGGCGGCTTAGATCCATTCCAGGCTGCAGCAATAGGCCCTTGGCGCAGAAAAACGCCTGTACAGCTGCTGGGAATAGAAGCTTAAACCCTGTGCTTCTGCTCAGCCGGCCCCCAAGCGAGATATTCGGTCAGCACTTATCCAGAAAGGTCGACGGTCCAGGGTCAACTGCATGGGTTTGAATCGTTGAATCGTTGCCTGGCTGCGAGGTTTGATTACAGCGGTAATATCTTTAAATGTACGGGTTGGTTGGTTTTTACCCGTCTTCTAAAACACGCCAATGCTCATAGCATGGCTCCCCAGCGCTGGCACAGCCACGCGGGGCATTCTCATGATCTCATCGAATGCTCGGTGATTTTCGCATTTGGACTCAATTCTTCATGATCCTACTAATTTAAGTCTTCCCCAGGGCGTGGAATGAGTTTGAGGCCCTTCGAATTGACAGTACGACTCGGTGTGGCTAGATCTTGGCCGTCAGCACCGGTGTCACCAATTACCCGATGTAAACAAACGTGCGTGACCTCTGCCCGGGTTTCACGCGGGAGCAACCGGAACCGGTGAACATCGTGATAGCCTTTCAATTTCAACGTAAACCCTCTTGAATCAAACCAAATACCTCATATGTGGGTTGACTTTGGTATAAAATGCCCAATGCGTGACTTTTTCCTCGATTATTCATGAGTCCAGATCCATCACTCCTTGCTTGCATCTACCATGCCATTCTTCAAGCGTAACGACAACATTTCCATCTTCTATTTGGATGAGGGTCCTCAAGAGGCTCAATCGGTTCTCCTCATCCCAGGAATTACATGTGACCTGCACGACTGGAATTGGCAAGTTCCATTTCTTCTAGAACACGGATTCCGTGTCATCACCCCAGATCCTCGAGGCCAGGGCCGTTCTTCCGCTCCGGCGCCAACTCCGGACATCAACTCCTACCCTGGCCCGGGTGCGGACCCGTCAATCGTCGACTACTACCCACAAACCGCTGCGGACGACTTTATTGCACTTCTCCAGGACCTCAACATCAAGTCCGTCATACTGATTGCTCATTCTCTCGGTACTGCCGTCGCTTACCATCTCGCGTCGGTGCGTCCCGATCTCACCCGGGCCATGGTCATCCTCGACCCGCTCCATTCCGTTCCCGCTGCCACCGCGGATGAATACCTCACCGATCCTACAAAGGTACTTCAAAACTTGGCCATGCTCTTCGGCCCGGCTCTGTATCCCCCAACAGTACCCGCCTGGCATAACACCTGGATTGGCAGGCGTGCCGCGCAGGGGGATATGGGAGTTATCCTCGCACAGTGTTTTGCCTGCTTGGGAGACCCCCAAGGAATTGGTCGACGGGAAGTGTCCGTCGCACAGCATGATGAGAAGATTCAATGCCCACGCCTGACGCTGGGGAACAGCGAGTTCTGGGTTACCACGGAACGTAGTCACCTGTCCCCGAGCACAGAACTCGACGAAGTTGGTCTCGTGGAGGATTCGGGACACTGGTTCTTCCAACTGAAGAGCGAAGAAGTAAATGAGCGACTCAACAAGTGGTTCGTCAAGATTGGCGTCTTGTCTGACTGTTGAAGTTAAGCTTCCACGTAACTAGATGCTGTGTATGATAGATAGCTGAAGATATAACTCCACTTCAATGTTTTCTGCAGCGTGAACGAAGGCGTAATCGAGTCTTAACTAGAACATTTACAGTTTGTGGGCTAAACTTCATCCGGTGACACGAGCGAAGAAGCGTCGACAACAACAAGTACACTCTCCGCCAGCAAATGTCGCCACACATGGAAGTATACTCTGAAAAATATGCCCAAAAATGCCGCCAAGTGACCAACATGTTTCTCTTGTGTCTCGTTCAACGAACCCATCGCGCCTGTTGCCTCCAAAAAAATGCCCATCTCGACTAGCAGGGGCTTACAGTTTGTGTCGATCGCGAAGTTCATGCTGTCTACGAAGACCATGTAGAGCCCGCAACACGCAACAGCTAGTGGGTGAAGATGGAATAGCTTTCTCCGGTAAAGCATGTCATCCGATATGCTCAAGGCAGTTTGGATGTACAGGGGAAGTAATGCCAGGGTTTGTGGGAAGTCCCTGCGCGGGTTTAAGGGGGACCAGAAGATGAGCGGGCCCACGAAGAGACCTATGAGGATGGCGAGCACGCTTCTGCCCTTTCTGATGAATCCTGCCCATCTGGGTGCGAAACATGAGATGACAGGTAGCAAGTGGAAAGCGTAGACTGCCATTAATGCGTCCCAGGCAAACAAATGCACCAAAAATGCAGCCAGAAAGCGAAGGCTATTTAAGAAACCTCCTAGTCGGCATTGGCTATTGCATATGCACTGGGACATGACAACGCCGAGTGTTCCTCCTAGCCCCCCGGCCAGCCCTGCCAGAATTGTCATATGTAGAGTGATTGGTAAAAGCGATAGATGCCAGGGAACCAAATGCTTACACCAAAGAACAGCATTTATCACCGAGACTGGGAAGACGAGGCTCACCATGGTCATCGAGATCGCTAGTAAGTGATTTGTGATGAGCTGGAGTAGCCACAGACATCTTCCCATGCAGTATTGTAGCTGCGATATGTAACCTTTTGAGGATTGCCTGATGTTGATTTCGAAGACAGGGATGTCAAGCAGTTTTCTCTTCCTGACCTCGAATTGAAGGCAAGAATCCTTTAATTCTAGAGACCACCTTGTAAACCTGAGAGATCCCGTGCGTTTCCACGAAGATATCAGTTTATCAGGCGAGACATGTTTCGCGACGCAGTACTCCAGATGATACAGGTCACTATTTGACCTCCAGGGCCATCTTCGGGGCCAGATCCAGGAGCCGAGGTCTGTATAAGCTGACGTCTTGGTAACTTTGATGGCGAGGGAGAATCTCTCGTTCGAAGCTTTCGATTCGAGCTTCATTCCGGCAATTCCATACCGCGAGCTGGAGATGGTCTGTGTTTCGCGTTCGGAAAAGACAGGCAACAGCGTGTCCGCTGCATAATGCTTTGAGTCTGAGTATCTTTCGAGGATTTCCATCTCTGGAGGCAAGCTATTGATCCACACGTACCACGAGGGTACGGGTTCTGTGTCGTAGTTAGGACGTATCCTTGTCTTCAACAGAATCCTTCTCATGGGCCATTGATGCCAGGTATGATGGCTGATTCTCATCGCCGACAGTGGACTTCTGGAGTATGCTCCGCCATCGTGAACGTCAAGAGGAAGCGCAAGGAGACTCCAGGGGTCGTTACGCAATCGACAGGGAATGATGGCGTACGGCCAGGTGTTGTCTGACACTGGCAGTTCAATCTCGAGGCCACGGCTGGTTGGCGTCCAGTCGAGCACGGTTTCGCATTCGACGATGTCGTTGCAAAGCAGGAAGCACCCGGGGCTCGGAGCCAAAAGGCCCATCGGCAATGCGTTGGAGTGGGGTTGCTCGGGAGCGGACCAAGGATGCCCCATCCCCATAACCATCTTCACTGCGGAGGCCCAAGAAGAACTCGGTTCAAGTTCGTCAAAGGCCAGCGGACGTCCGTGCTCATCTGTCGGGTTCCAAGCGAGGAGTGTTGAGTCGAAGCACGTCTGCAGTATCTGCTCTTGAAGTCTGAAGAAGGCCTTTTGACCCTCTCCGTACATGAGAGGCATGTTCACTCCGAAGATACCCAGCAGGCAGTATGCAATATCTTCAACGCGAGTAGTCGTTCGCCAAGCTGCCCAGCTCATTCTCTCTGCAATACTGGCCTCTGTCAACAATCTCAGGCGGGTATTTTGCTCCGATATCGAGGATTCCAGGTACGTCCGATCGATGCCTGTAATATTGCTCACGGAGGCCGCCGTGTCCTCACGGCTTGCGATCAGAGTCCAGTCCGACGCGAAGAAAAGCAACTCTCGAGGTGCGAGCAACTCCTGTAACGTCCATCCTCTTGTGAACCAGCGAGAGTTCACGAATGCCGGATCAGTCGCGTCTTGGGTTGCCGGTACATCGGATAGGTATGCGAAGCAGATTTGTGCATTTTCGTACCATTTGAACATGGAGTTGATTGACTCCGACAGTTCCGCACTACTTGTTTTGTCGATACAGCAGGTATCGACCCAAACATATCGAAGACGGTACTCCAGGGCTTTCCCGCACGCCTTTATGATCTTTGGGTACCCAGCTCTGTCTTTGATTATAAGATCTGCAGGGTCTCCGCTTGTGATATCGAGGCTCTTGAACTCTTGGAAGGAGACTTCGTCGCTTCCCCAAGTATGCGATAGGATGGCGTAGTCGGGGATAGCAGCGTCAAAGAACTCCTCAAGTTTGAGTGTGCGTGTGTTGATGAGCCACATGCTCGATGGTTGGCATTGAAGTAATTTGGCCTCGTTGAAGACTTAGAATTGGAAGGCTGAAATGTATGTATTTGGGCATATCTTGTGGAAAGGGATGCCAAGAAAAGAGACAGCGAGCCGTGGATGCAGTGAAGCTGCGCGTTTTGACAGCCAGGCAGCAATCGGAGCTGAAAACTGAACCCCTGCCGCATGAGAGAATCTCATAGGCTGTGCAGTTGCTACCCCCTGTCTAGTGGAACCATGGATATCTGGGCATGAGAAGGGGCTTCAGTACCTTAGCTTCCATACTCGGTGACAGCCCAATGCGTTGGACTTATTGATAAACGTTCATCGTGCAGGTCATAAGAAGCGTGAAAATTCAACGGTGAACTTAATGGCAAGACTTGTCTTTTTTCTTTCGCTCTGAGTGTTCAAGGATTGACCGACTAGCCTGGCACCATAATTTCAGAAAACTGACGGTCCTTCTACCTTACGGAGTCTGTGTCACAGAAAGCATGCGATGCTCTGATGATTTATTAAATACTTCAATTCCCATATAAACACTTCATCATTGATAGAGGTACTAAAATTGCTCCAAAACTTATGAAGCAACAACCGCCGTGCCATATGCCAAAGTAACGCCACGTCAATCCCACACAGACCATCAACAAACAGTTTTGAACATACTCAAGTAAAAGAGAAGAAGATATTAAGCGTATGAGCGATGCTTTTGCGAAAATGGCCTCACGAGGAGCAGTCTTTGAGGTAAGGCTTCACTTCCTGGGGGGAGTACCTAGTGGTTACTGGTTAAACTAGGCTAAGATCTCTTCAATCTATTCATATCATATTTATTCCCAATTTCATCTCTATCGTAGTTATAATACTATTTGAATCCTATCTGACGTTCAGAAGTGTCGGCCCTGACAGCAAGGCTCCTGAATTACAAGTATGCTGAAGACTAGGGTGTTTTCAGTCCACGTCACTCACCCGCGTGGGTGCTTCAGCTGCCCTTGAGTAACTTGATCGAAGGAGTGCGGTCCCATAAAATCTCGCTGGCGTATTGCCTCCATGTGTTATAGCTGCAAACGAAGTGTTGCATCCCAGATAAACATGCATAACATGCATACCTACCCGCCAATGCACTGCACGTCAGCGCAGGAACACCCAAGAAATGCCCATTTGACGTCTTTCACCCAAGCCCAAGATCGGCATAGACCCCGCTAAGGGCCGTGAAAATCAGGGGTGTTCGGATGGGCCGTAGAGGTTGGCAGGATGGGACAGCTGGCCATCAAGGTATGTAGCTATCTCTGTAGACGGCCCGGGGCGCCATGAGGCGTTCCAGCAGTATGGAGATTAGCCAATGCAAGCCAACCATGATCTAACTGGAAATGCGCGTAGAAAAGCTTGTTTGGACCTCTTTAGTTGTCAAAAGGAAGCGTTTGTGATGATGTGAGTGACCTCAACCTTGGGAGCGCGCCCGAGACATCTTCTTAGCGCACAACGACATAGTTGGATAAGACTGAACCGAATGACATCATTTTATCTGTGTCTATATAAATACTTCATTGACATATTTCATAAGCCAGGTCACATAATCTGGTATTGCTAATAGACTTTGCCGGCACTTGAAGATTGGAACGGTCTTCACTGCCGCACACCGAAATGGCCGGTCCGATATCCCACTCATGCGGGGTTGTACCCCGGGGCCAACGCCGAGACTAGGACCAGCAATTGAAGGCACGGCCGATACAAAAGAACAAGGGTTCATATCTATCTATCAATCAACAAGACCTCTCCGCTTTGCCCAGAATTTTGATTGCGTCTTGTTTTTTGCCAAGTGTATGCCGCCTCCCCGATTGACTAGCACATTCCTTTCCCGTCGTCTTGGCCCAGCGCCTCAATCGCGTAGCCAATGCTGACAACGAGCTCACAAATTGACAGTGAGAACGATGCTGGTGACCAACACACGAGGCATTGAGTGCTGGGGAGCCAATGAAGACGATCATGTTTGCTGAAACGGCTCTCATCGGTTCATACGAACCGATCGCTTTCCTTCCGCGGGGGGCGGGATAAGATGGATGGTTCTTGGGATGAAGCTCTCAGTGGTGGCGCGATCTCGCCTGTTGAGTCGTCTCTTGGCGGTACAGCACTGCAACGTTAAACATGCAGTGCTCATGCAGGCACCTAAACGAGCAGGCCTGCAGTGTGAACACGCATTCTCGCGAGGCGTTCAACGGGGCGTTTCTTCATCCATTCTGCTCAGACGAGTCAGTTCGAAAGCATGCCTACGAGATGAAGTTTCTGTGCCAGAGTCAACTTCTTGAAAGTTACTTTTCAGGCTGTGCCTTCACCCTATTGTGTCCATCGTCATGTAAAGCACCGACCTCATCACGGTGTGCCCCCCAAACGTTATTACGAATAAACAACGACACCCTAGCACCGTTTGGCATGCTCGTCAGCCACTACTCGAAAATTCCCCTCTCTTAAGGCTTGGCACCTGCCTGATGAAGCAACGATGATCCACTGCGCCAGAGAGGAAAAAGCCGCCGTGGCCTAGGAGCTGCCCTTGTCCGGGATCCTCTCCGCCCATTGTCATTTCTTGTGTTCGCCCCCCTGGCAGCCGACCTTCTCTCCGCGTCCTAGCAACAACGGCATTGCCAACCGTATCCTTCACTCTTGGACCAACATTCGCAATTGTCCCTCGCAAAAGTCCTTGCCAAGACGACCCGACGTCGTTCACCTGCCCGAGGTAGCATCGCCCGGCCTGCATCGATGCCTCAGCACCCAGGATAACGAGCAAGATTCTCAGGGACCAGCCTCTTGGGATGTCATTGTGGCGCTGCGATGTACGTTTCCTCGAATTGGATCTCGCGGTGCCACAGCTTCTCGGCGCACAACCTTGCTACCCAGAGCTCGCCCGGCCACGCGAGCCGGAGCTCTCCCCAACTGTGACTGCATTGTCACTTGATGTCGTCTTATCGCGCAATTACGCCTGCACGGCGAGCAACCTCTTGGCATGCCCAGACGGCATGGGCCTCTGAGAACATAAATGTCCTGGCCTCGCCCGGGTCCATGTGCAGTGTTCTAGTTAGCTGATCAGTCCGCTCCTTGGGATCCATCCGAAGCTTGTCAAATATTCACCTTGTGCCGTCAATTGGAACTTGGGAATAGCTTCCTCATTCACAATGAAGACCACCTCCGCCCTCGCCGCGGCGCTCTTCGCGCTACGCTCCTTCGCGACCGACCCCCTCACCGCCGACAAGGCCGAGGCCGACATCCTGACCACGGAGTGAGTGTCAATCCTTTCAATTGGCGTGTCTGAACTTGCTCTAACGCGTTCTCCCCAGACTCGAGCGCAACCTCTGGAACCTGAACAAGATTGCCAAGGACAACGGCGGCAACCGTGCCTTCGGTCTTCCGGGTTACAAGGCGTCTTCCGACTACATCCTCGAGCGTGTCCAAGGCCGCTTCCACAAGCAGCTTGACACCAAGATTCAGTACTTCAACCACACCTTTGCTCAGACTCGTGAGATCAAGGTCACCGGTCCCGACGGCGAGGATGTCTACGTTGTGGCCCTCCAGTACAACCACCCGACCTCGCTTCCCGATGGCGACACTGCACCCCTCATTGACATTCCTGTTGATGACGAGCGAGGTAAGATGACTATCACCTTGCACCTACGAAACTGCAAGCTGACTCTAAATACGCAGGCTCCGGGTGCTTCGCCGACCAGTGGGAAGGTATCGATGCCACCGGCAAGCTACCGCTCGTCAAGCGCGGTGTCTGCGCCATTTCGGACAAGCTCAAGCTCGCCAAGGCCGCGGGTGCCGTCGGTGTCATTCTCTACAACCAGACTCCAGGCACCAACATCGGCTCTGCCACATTGAGCGCCGAGAACCTGGGCCTGCTGGTGCCCGTTGGTCTTATCCCTCTAGAAGTTGCCACCGCATGGCAGGAGCGCCTCAAGGCTGGCGAGACCCTCGAGGTCACCCTCCTCGTAGATGCCGAGTGGGATGAGCGCGAGACCTGGAACATCATCTCCGAGACCAAGGAGGGCGACCCCAACAACGTCATTGTCCTTGGTGCTCACTTGGACTCTGTCCAGGCGGGACCCGGTGTTAACGACGACGGCTCCGGTACTAGCGCTCTCCTTGAGATCGCCGGCTCCTTCAAGAAGTACTCGGGCTTCAAGAACAAGGTCCGATTCATCTGGTGGGGCGCTGAGGAGAGCGGTCTCGTCGGATCTCTCTACTACACTGCTCAGCTGTCCGAGGCTGAGGCGGACGCCATTCGCTTTTACTGGAACTACGACATGATTGGCTCCATCAATCCCGTCTACAACGTCTACCTCGGCGACAACGAGGGTGATAAGTTCGGCGCTCAGCCCATCCACGACTACATCGCCGCCCAGGGCAAGCCCGCCGCTTTCGGTGGTTTTGGCAGCAGCTCCGGTACGTATACCTTTCTAGAGTGAAAACCTGTTCATAGTTAATATGCTAACAAAACGAAGACTATGTGGGCTTCCTCAGTCTTGGAATCCCCAGCTCTGGTTCGTGCAATTTTTTCCCTTCTAATCTTTCGCTCAGACTTTCTTATGGCACGTTACCGGCTGTAGACACACCTTGCTGACTGCCGTATGATCTTCAGGTATCTTCACCGGCGCTGGTGAACCCACCGATCCATGCTACCACTTGGCTTGCGACACCCTCGACAACATCAACTGGGACGCCATTACCATCAACACCAAGGCCGCCGCCCGTGTTGCCGCTGACTTCGCCAACGAGCTGCCCGCGGGTCTCCCTCGTCGCAGCAAGACTACGCCTGCCCGCCGCAGCCGTGAGGCTATCCGCCGCGAGTTCCAGAAGTGGGCTCTCGCTGCTGAGCAGGCCGAGCACGCTAAGAGCTGCTCCCACGGCGATGACCACGTTGTTTAGATGATTCTCATGAGACGGCTTAGAAACACATAATCTGTAATGTCATGATGATACCTACATAGTGTTGGGAACTAAAAGAACATGAAGTCTTCCATGCCTTTCAGCCTGTGTAACTGTAGATCGTGAACCGCGAACTGTTGTCCGTATCGAATAATGGAGAAGCTGCGAAGCTGTGCGGTTCGGCGTCCCATTTTATAGACATCTCAGGCATCGTGGCTGATCAAGGTGGATGGCACTGCCGTTGGGGAACATGGGGGACACGCCTGTCCCCCTGGATGAGCCGACATAGCCCCACGGACTCCCTGTGATACCCGGAACCGGGCGGGAAGCCTTACAAGCCAGGTCGTTCGGACGAAAAGGCCGTCCATGGTCCGTGGTCTATGGCCAGCTCTAGGAAAAGTTGATAGTGGACAAATAATGGGCCAATAAGGATGGAAAGGTAGGTCATCCCACGAATTATTCCCCACATCGTTAATACTTGAGAGCTCAGGAAAGTTACCGGATTCGCATATAAGAATACGAGCATCCCTGCCATTTCCGCCAACGTCAACGACAGCGCGGGAATGGGATACAAGAGGATGTCTTACATGAGAACCTCCAACTCTTATAAGACCATTGGCCTCAACGGCACTACATTCATACTTCCATTGTCCTTGACTTGCATCATTGAACTACCCACCATCTTCTTCTTCTTGTCTTCTACGGAATTCCGTCATGTCGGCAATTTTGGAATACGCCTCTAGGCCCGAGTTCACAGTGACTGTCAGCATCGGCATTTTGTACCTCCTTCTGCAATTCATTTTCAGAGAAGACGGGCCTTACCCGGATTTCCCCCTAATAGGGAAAGCACCAAAAGACTGGTTCTACACGAAAACTCGGAAAAGATGGGACAACGAGGCACTCGACATCTTGAAGGAAGGCACGGCAAAAGTGAGACCAGCACCTCCCAAGTCTTAGAGCTTATACCAACAAACCCCTTCATAGCTCAACGGACGCCCTTTCCAAGTTTTGAGTAACTTTGGCCCATCCATTGTGCTCGCCAAGGAATTTGCCAACGAGATTCGGAGTGACCCCCGGCTGTCATTCCGCGGGTTCATTGAGCGGGTACGAACACTCTTTCATTTGGAACAGGCTCATCATACTTACTCGGGTTGGAAACTTGCAGCAAGGCATGGTTCAGTACCCAGGCCTTGACTTCCTCCACACAGGGCTCGAAGGCGACATCATCCAAGACACGGTCAGGAAGAATCTTACGCAGGCATTGGGTGGGATGACCGAGTCGTTGTCCAAGGAATGTGCTTCAGTAGTTGACGAAAGTCTTCCGGCCGCTAAAGGTTCGTCGCTGCGCCCCGAAACCACCTCAACATACCGAGAAGCTCACATGAGATAAAGACTGGAAGCATACAAAGTTCATCATGGGAGCAACGAACATAGCCGCCCGACTGTCGGCACTCGTCTTCTTGGGTGAGAGGCTCTGCCACAGCCAGGAGTGGATCGAAATCTCCATACGCTTTACGATCGTGATGATGAGAGCCCAAGAGCGCCTACGCACTTGGCCTGTGTTCACGAGACATGTCGTACACTGGTTTCTCCCCGAGATGATCTATCTGCGCAAGCTTGTGCGCGACTCGAAGAAGATAATCGAGCCCGAGCTGGCTGCTCGCCGGGCAGCACGGCGTGATGTCAAGAAACCACAGGATTCTCTGTCGTGGCTGGACGACGTGCGAGGAGACCGGTCTTTTGATGTGGTCTGTGGGCAGTTGTTCCTGACTGTGGCTGCAATCCACACTACTTCGAGCGTCATCACGGCAACTATGTACGACCTGATCTCTAATGCGGAGTATATTCCGTTGCTCCGTGAGGAGATCATCCGGGTTCACAACGAGGACGGAGGCTGGGAGAAGACGAGCCTCTACAAGTTAAAGCTCATGGACAGCTGTATGAAGGAGAGTCAGCGTCTGAACATCCTTGGCCCGAGTAAGTTAATCTTCAAGCGCTGCGATCTCTACCTCCTCGAACGTACTGTTAGTAAGATGCATAGAATCTAACCATCGGCAGACATGATGAATCGCTATGCGGAAGACGATGTCACACTCTCCGACGGCACCCTCATCCGCAAGGGCTGTCACATTACGATCCCGACGCTCCATATGCGCGACAAGGAAATCTTTGGATCAAATGCCGATGACTTCGATGGGTACAGGTTTCTGCGTATGCGAGAGCTGCCTGGGCAGGAGAACAAGTGGCAATTCGTAAGTACAAGTCCGGAGTTCCTGAGCTTTGGACACGGAAAGCACGCTTGTCCCGGTCGCTTCTTCGCCAGCAACGAGATCAAGATTGCGCTCATCCACCTGCTGATGAAGTACGACTGGGACATTGTTGGGGAGAAGCCCAAGAGCGCGGCCAAGGCTCGGTTCGTACCGGACCCTGAGACGCTTGTGGCATACCGGTCTAGGATACCGGAGATTGATATCTGAAGCAGTGAAATATGGCTCGGTTCCTTTGGCGGATATGTAGAGATACTCTCATATACGGACTGGTTTCCAAATCAGTAGCGCACGGAAATAGACTCGCGAAAATCTATGCAAACTTCTCCGTTATGTCAAGTCTTCAGGAAGACGACGAATTCTTGACAAACCTTCATCCTATCACTCTCATTCCTGGTGCTTTGACTATGATGATAAGGATAATTATTGTCATCATCGTCTTTATCGTCCTTGTTGCTATCAACCTGTAACACACTTTGCCAGATTGCAAAGCTCATTCTCCATATTCACAACGGCGGTATCAACATATTTAAGTTCAAGCAGGTGAAGGGATCTTTGGGGTGGGTTTTAGGATCTCATTCATTTGTCCCGAAAGTACAGCGATACAGACGCGGGCTTACTTCAGCTTACCACAAGCGCAGCATCTCTGGCCATTGGCATTGATGGAAAAGATTGGCTCGGAGGCTCTCCCTGCTTCCTTCTGTGGATGCCAGGGGCGCTAGACAGAGGTTGATGTACAGTAGTAGCTGTATGGTTGAGAACAAGCAGTGAAGAGGCAACCATAGAGGCAAGGCTTACTTGAAGAAGGGCGCACTAAGGTGGAGGCGTCAGCAACGACATCGAAGGCGAGGCCCGGAGGCCGAACCCTGAGTGGGGACCGAAACAGAAACTACATGCTATACAGCCACGGCGAAACGGATAATGGGCGAAGCCCCTGACCCATTGGACAACACATCAGCCAGAATGCGAAATCCAGCGATCTGTTGCGTACCAACAGAATCTCGTGTGTGAGTCCGCGTTCGTCGGGTGCCTGCTGTCTCACCGACACGCCTGCCATTCTCGAAACGTTGCAACGACCCCAGAAGTAGCCGTCACCGATGCGCCATGCGAGATGATCTAGGATTAGCGACCGCGGCGTGAAAGGAAATGTCTCTATTGCATTAGGGCCGGAGCAACCTCCGTTCTTGGCAAAACGCCGACCAGCGGCTGCTCCCTTCTCTTCCCCGCGTGGCTCATTGCGGCGTTTGAACACGCGAGGGTGGATGAGATCACAATGCAGTTAACCTTAGGTACCCCCTTCCCTGCTAACCTAACAGAGGGTACGCCTCAGCCCCACTTATAAGTAATATAATATTTATCTATAAAAAGAAGGGTATATTAGCTTACCTACTACTACCCCACTTTAAAGGTATATTTAGTAGTTTCTACCTATTTACTACCTAACTTACTTAAAATAATCTTTTACTATATAGCTTTATATACTAAATCTTAGAATAATCTAAAATTAATTATAGTTAATTCTATTTAAACTAGAAAAATAGTATTTAATCTTAGATTAATCTATTTAAGTTAGTATATTAATAATAAAGATAATAAATTTAAGTAGCTATTTTAGTAAGTTATAAGTATATATAATAACTCTAAAAATACTCCCCTACTTATTAATATTCCTAAAAAGGAAATCTAATAATTAGAAGCTATAAAGTAAGCTTATAACTTCCTAGTTAAACTTTATAATTAATAGATAATTATATCCTTTAGATAAATAAGTAAAGTATTAAAGCTATATAATCTATAATTAATCTCTAATTTTATAAATAACTTATTTAAAATTAGTCCTCTATTTAACTATACTTACTATAGAAGATATTATATTTACTACTAATATCCCTACTTATTTAAATATATCTTCTAGTAAGTATTTATATATAATTTTAATAAAAGAACTTATAAATACTAAAATTAAGAAGCCTTAAAATAAAGTAGGTTTATCTTAGATTACTTTATATTTAGTTTTTATATTAACCTAATAAGTTTAATTCTATTATAAATTAAAGTAAGTAAAAAATAATATATAATATACTTTCTTAAATATCTAAAACTACTATTAGGTTATTTATTAATATATAAAGTATATTATTTATAAATATCTTAACCCTAAGTTCTTAAAACTATATAGGATTATTCTTAAAATAATCTAAGAATAAATATAAGAAGTATAGGAAAACGCCTAAGTTCTCACACTATAATAATAGGTAATTACTTAAGTATATATAGCCTAAAACTCCTTTAAAGCCTAGATAAAGTTAATATATTAAGATTAAAACCCTATATATTAAGCATAATAGGTTATAATATTATAAATATATTTAATCTTTAATTACTCTAAGATAAATAATAGCTTAAACTATCTAAAGTATAAGTTATTAACTATAATTTATTATATAATATATAAACTAATTAAGGATAAATTCTATAGTATATACTATATCCTTAGTTCTTTCTAAATTTAGTAGTTATATTACTATTATTTAATAAATTATTTAGAACTTAGATTATTATTATCTAAATAATAATCTAAGCTATATAGTTTAAGATATTACTTAATATAAAAAGCTAAAATATAATAAGTACTTTTAATCTTAAAGTAATTATAAAATACTCTCTAATAAATTAAAGATTAATTATAACTAAAAGTAAAAGTAGATAAAAAAGCACTCCTATAAAGTTAAGTTCTATTAATTTATCCTATATAATACTATAAAGTGTTTATATATACTTCTAGTCTATAAAAAGCTTTATACCTACCCCCTACTACTAGCAAAAAAGATCCTATTAATAATCTATTAAAAGCTTATATAGTCTATTAAATCTATATATAATCTATATCTTACCCTTAGTATATTTATAAATTATACTTAGTTTAAATAAAAACTAATCTTTACTAAATACTTATATAAATAGTTAATACTATTAAGATCTATATAATAAATTTAGAAAAAGCATATTACCTAAAATATACTTAAGCCTAAGTAATTAAGATAAGATTACTATACTAATTAAGAAGGAAAACCTCCTCTACTACTTAATAGGCTCTTCTATATTTAGATTATAATACTTCTAGGAAATATTATATTATACTATAAAAGATAATTAGGTAAATTATTTCTAAAGATATTCTTAGTAAACCCTTAATATATTCCTAGAGTAATTATAGATTACTCTATATACTAATAAGCTTTAGTACTTATAATACTTCTACTATAATATATTTAGTTTATAGATAGTAATTAGCTTTTAATAAAGTTAAACTAAGTTTTAGAAAACTATTAAAACCTTTTAGCTTAATATAAACTATAAGTACTTTTCTAGAAAGAATAAAAAAGAGATTATATTAAGCTACTATATATTAAACCTAAAATAAAATAAGTTTATTCTTAATATAATCTTAAAATAATCTAAAACTAATAGGGGTATAATAAGTGTTCTACTTATTTATACTATAGTAAACTCTGAGGACCTTAAAATATATTACTTTTTCTTTAAATACTTATTCTAAGTATTAAGAGGGAGAGTCCTATATATCTACTTTAACTAGTATTATATACCTTCTAAGCCTTAACCTAGCTAATATTATTATAAGCTCCTTAAGATTATTATAGATATAGATATAAAGCTTCTTTAAGGTATATTAGAATATTCCTTAATTATACCTAAATTATACCTTATACTAATAATAAATAAGCTTTAAGACCTATATATAATATAAAGTCTTATTACCTTATAAAAAGAAGAGGTAGGTTTATATAGAATATTTAGTTTAATATTATAAAGTCTACTTTTAATATAATATCTAAAATACCTTTAAAACTATATATAGTAAGGCACTAAAGTTATTATTCTATATAATAATATCTCTTCTAACTTATTAGTTATATTAAGAATAGAATAATATAATAAACTAATTATTATATAAATAAAATTATACCTAAAGTAAGCTTTATTTAATCTTAAATTACTTTTAGCTTATTTTAATCTAAAGATTAAATACTAAGCTTAGTATAAGAACTAAAGGCATATCTACTTAGGTTTAAACCTAATTTAGTTAAAAAATATAAAAGTAAATTAAAATAAGTTAGTATTCTATATAAATTATATTAAGTCTCTCTACTACTTATTATATATATAAAGTAGCTAATAAAAGCTATTAGTTATAATATAGGAAAGGTAAGTAATTATTAATATAGTTTAAGCTTAGAATAAGCGTAATTTAATCTTAATCTAAGCATAATCTAGATATAGTCTAAGTATAGTTTAGGTAAAGTCTAAATATAGTTTAAGTATAGTTTAGGTCTAGTTTAAATATAAATTAAGTATAATTTATTCCTTACTTACTCTATAGATAGTTTATCTAATATTTAATCTTTAGTTCTTAGATCTAAAACCTCTATATATATAAAGAAAGTAATATTTTTAAGCAGTATAGAATATCCTTTATATACTACTAAACCTCAGCCTATATATAAGAAGCCTAGAAACTTATTTACTAAGGTATATATTATATTTAAGCTTAAATTAAGCTTAAATTAATATCTAATTATTCTTAGAGAAAAAGAAGTATTCTTAATACTCTAAGAGAGATAATATTTTCTAGTAATATCTTATACCTCCTTAATAAAGCTTAAGCTTCTAACTTTTAAGTTCTTTAGTACTACTATTATTACTTCTAATAGTCTTTATAAGTAAATCTCTAGCTCTAATCCTATTAAGCTCTCTATTTATCTATCTAATAGTTAAATCTAATAATATTAAGTTATTAATTTTAGCTTTATCTAGTAGTAAACTTTTAGTTTTATTAAGTTACTAGTCTTCTCTATAAAAAAAGAGCTATATTTAATCTAAGTATATTCTTAAATTGCTTTAAGCTTACTCTCTAATACTAATATATATCTCTAGTTCTTTATAATAGTAGTCTATATATAATAGTTAGTAGTAATAATAAAAGAGTAGTACTTAATAGAATACTACTTAAGTATTTTAAAGCTCTAACTTAGTTATTCTTATTACTAAGGAGCTAATAAGACTCTAGGAGTTTATATAGTTATAGAAAGAGCTTTAGGAAATTAAAGTAGTATAGTTAAGGATATAATTAGATCTAAGATTAATCTAAAAATAATATTTATAAAAGCTCTTAAAAGATTAATTTATTC